TCCAACTGCTGGCTCCTCCACTAACTGTTAGATCCTCCTTTAACTGCTGGCTCCTCCTCCAACTGCTGGCTCCTCCTCTAACTGTTAGATCCTCCTTTAACTGCTGGCTCCTCCTCCAACTGCTGGCTCCTCCACTAACTGTTAGATCCTCCTTTAACTGCTGGCTCCTCCTCCAACTGCTGGCTCCTCCTCTAACTGTTAGATCCTCCTTTAACTGCTGGCTCCTCCTCCAACTGCTGGCTCCTCCACTAACTGTTAGATCCTCCTTTAACTGCTGGCTCCTCCTCCAACTGCTGGCTCCTCCTCTAACTGTTAGATCCTCCTTTAACTGCTGGCTCCTCCTCCAACTGCTGGCTCCTCCACTAACTGTTAGATCCTCCTTTAACTGCTGGCTCCTCCTCCAACTGCTGGCTCCTCCTCTAACTGTTAGATCCTCCTTTAACTGCTGGCTCCTCCTCCAACCGCCGGCTCCTCCTCTAACTGTTAGCTCCTCCTCTAACTGTTAGATCCTCCTTTAACTGCTGGCTCCTCCTCCAATTGCTGGCTCCTCCTCTAACTGTTAGATCCTCCTTTAACTGCTGGCTCCTCCTCTAACCGCTGGCTCCTCCTCTAACTGTTAGCTCCTCCTGTAACCGCTGGCTCTTCCTCTAACTGGTGGCTCCTCCTCTAACCGCTGGCTCCTCCTCTAACTGTTAGCTCCTCCTCTAACTGCTGGCTCCTCCTCCATACTCTGGCTCCTCCTCTAACTGTTAGCTCCTCCTACAACCATTAGCTCCTCTTCTAACTGTTAGCTCCTCCTCTAACTGCTGGCTNCCTCCTCCATACTCTGGCTCCTCCTCTAACTGTTAGCTCCTCCTACAACCATTAGCTCCTCTTCTAACTGTTAGCTCCTCCTCTAACTGCTGGCTTCTTCTCCACACTCTGGCTCCTCCTCTAACTACTGGCTCCTCCTCTAAACATTAACTCCTCCTCTAACCATTAGCTCCTCCTCTAACCGCTGGCTCCTCCTCTAACTGCTGGCTCCTCCTCCAGACTCTGGCTCCTCCTCTAACTGCTGGCTCCTCCTCCAGGCTCTGGCTCCTCCTCCATCCTCTCTCTCTATCAGAAAAAGTAAAGGTAGAACTTTTCCAGTTTATTAACCTTTTTTTTATGTTTATTAGTTTTTAATATTAAAAAAAATGTAAATTACATCAAATGTTTTTTTAACTTGCTGGTTTTGAACTGAGATCTTTATTAAACATTTAAATTGTCAGCTGTGTGTTTTATTTGCTGATATTTGAAACAAACCTGGCTCTGGTGTTCTGGTGAGCGGTGTGTAAACATTGTTTGTTTACATGTGAGCGGTGTGTAAACATTGTTTGTTTACATGTGAGCGGTGTGTAAACATTTATTTTGATCAGCTGGTTTCATTTTGTTAAGGTTTCATGTTTTATTTCACTTGATGACAATTAAAGAAAAAATGAAACTAGAGAATCAGAGTTCAGGTCAGTTTATAACTCAGACTTTATAAATCCCAACAGGAAATTAAAAGTAACTCATTATCCTGGTGGCTGTGGGCAGGAAGGATCTGAAGACCCCCTGACTGAAGACTCTGTTGTAGTGGGACAGTCTGATGAAGAGGATGCTCAAGGGTGTCCATCGTATGGTCAGGGAGACGCAGGACTCAGGGACATAATCCCACAGCCATGTCTCAGTGAAACTCTGTCCGGGTTRTGTCAGGAGTCTGTTTAACTTGTTCCAGTTTGATCTCTTGTTGCCCACCATGATTGATGGAAGAGATGGTTTGAACTTCCTGCTCTCTGCTCCTGCTCTGCATCCACAGCACCTCCTTTTCAACTCATCTGGGATTCAAGGATGTAGTTGAAGGTTTATTTGAGTTCTTGAGATGTTAAGACCCTGTCACACTAGACATCTAAAGTTAACTTAGGAAACATTTCTAATGTCTAAGTTGCTTAAAAACTTATATATTTCATCAATTTCTTAGAAATACAGCATGTGCATGCCAAAAAGAAGCTTCCTGTTGATTTGTTCAATTCCAGCTTCAACATAATGCCTTTGAAATGTTCATAATTTGGTATAAGTGGTCTAGTGACTGGGCTTTTAACCAGCTGCTCCTGGTTATAACAAACCACRACGTTGCTATGGTTACGCATCATAACAAATGTCCAAAAACAAAACAGGTGTTTGCTAAAATCCTTCCAGCTGCACAGCATCTAACAGCAGAGTCATGTAAAAAAGCTTTTTTATCCAGAAAGAATTTAAAAAAGTTAAATATCACAGAAACAGAGCTACTCCAACATGCTGCCAGAAATCCTAGAATTTATAAACTTTTATTAAAGAAACTAAAAATAAAACAAGACAAACATAAGATATTAAACTGAAACAACTTTCCTGCCTGACTGAAGAGGTTCTACTTTAATCCTAGTCTCTGTTTACAATCATTTTTACAACAATCTTTATTTAAAGTGCCTGTGACATGTTTATCCTTCAAATACAAAAAGTCAAAGAAAATATCTTCATGCTGTATTTTGGAAAATTGGCAAAAAACACAATTTTACCCATTCTGTCCCATAACTGGCATATTCTCCTTTGAATTTGGCTCATCTAAAGTGAAACAGGAAGTGACATCAAAGGGGAACTCTTTGAGAAAGAAAACTGGTTTTATTTATTAAAACAATATTATTTGAACTCTGACTTTTCTTCGTCTCTGTCTTAGGGACTAAAATAATCTAAAGAAACATCAGATTCTTCTCTACAGTCTGGGTTGTTAGTGATTGTAGCAACACTCTGTTTACGTGTTGACATTCCCCTATGACATCACTTCCTGTTGCTTCACACGCAAACATCTCAACAACTGTTCAACTCAGTGGCGTGAAGTTGGTTTTGTAATATTTTAGTGGAGTTATCTTTCGAAAAGTGCATTCATATTTATCACAAAAATTTGATGTCACAGGCACTTTATAAATAAAGTTTTCCCTTAATCAGAAACCTCATCAAGGCAGAGATGTGGGGCTACTGGTGTGAACCACTTCCATATTTTCTGGGGATGTCAGATTATTTCTAACTATCAGGCACAGATTTGTGAACATGTTAATAATGCATTTGGTGCAAAAACTCCTCTTAAATGTGAAATATTGTACTTATGTGATGTAGCTACACTGATAAAAGACTATTGGGCACGTTGTTGCAAGCAAGAAAACATCAAGAAAATGGCTGAAAGTCGAATCCCCAACCATGGAGGAGTGGATTAACACTGTACACGAGTGGATTAACACTGTACACGAGTGGATTAACACTGTACACGAGTGGATTAACACTGTACACGAGTGGATTAACACTGTACATGAGTGGATTAACACTGTACACGACACGAGTGGATTAACACTGTACACGAGTGGATTAACACTGTACATGACACGAGTGGATTAACACTGTACATGAGTGGATTAACACTGTACACGAGTATATTAACACTGTCCACGAGTGGATTAACACTGTACACGAGTATATTAACACTATCCACGAGTGGATTAACACTGTACACGAGTATATTAACACTGTACACGAGTGGATTAACACTGTACACGAGTATATTAACACTGTACACGA